ACATGTAAATCACTCGCAATTGATGCTTCTTCCCGTCTGGTTTGAGCGCAGCATAAAAGGGACAGTTTCAGAGTTATAAAACATTATCTGAGTGGTGTTTAGAGCTGAAACGTCACACTCACACACTCAGACACGCATTTTGCATTGTGTATAAGGGGTGTAATAGGTCTCCTTTAACATCCAGAATAGAGTTCAGAAAATGTAAGCATCTAGATTTATTGTGTAATGTCAACCATAAAGAGAGAGTGCATGCATAAGAGTCAAACAGCATACGTCTGTCCGTGTGTGTGTGTGTGTGTGTGTGTGTGTGTGTGTGTGTGTGTGTGTGAACGCACCGCAGTCTTCAATTATCTCAGTTTGCATCTCCGCTGATTAGAGAGCATGATGGGAAATCCAGCAGACGGTTTTTACAGTCTCTGGCAGAATCCCCTCACAGCTGCACTCTGTGTTTGTCATTGCAGAAACACTGAGAAAGATTCACCCTGACAAGAGAAGAGATTTCAACAAACACTCTTTATTTTTATCTTTAGAAGCATGAAATGTAAAATTAGAGTTGCGAAAATTAACAGAAAAAAAGGTTATTGTTGTTGTTCTTGTTAAAATTATTAATATTATTACCATAATACAATAAAACACATGTAGAATAGTACCAAAATGACAATAAATTAAATTTACAATAACTCTCAAATACTGTGTTTTTTTGTATTATTATTGGTAATAGCAGTTATGGGAAATTAAAATAATATGAATATAATTATTTGTAAAAAGTTTCATTTGTTGTCGTTACGCTTTTAAAATAATTTTAAAAAAGTAAAATACAACAAAAAAGCATTTAGATTTAATAAACTTTCAAATAGTGAGATGGTTGTCGTTGTCAAAGTCGTCGTTGTCGTACTATTCATTGTTGTAGTCATTGACGTAGTCATAGTCATTGTTGTAGTTGTTGACATTGTCATTGTCGTTGTTGTAGTGGTCATCGTTGACATTGCCGTAGTCCTTGTCATAATCGTTGATGTAGTCGTTGACATTGTCGTAGTCGTCGTTGTCGTAGTATTCATTGTTGTAGTCATTGATGTAGTCATAATCATTGTTGTAGTTGTTGACATTGTCATTTTCGTTGTTGTAGTAGTCATCGTTGACATTGCCGTAGTCCTTGTCATAATCGTTGATGTAGTCGTTGATATTGTCGTAGTCGTCGTTGTCGTAGTAATCATTGTTGTAGTCATAGTCATTGTTGTAGTTGTTGACATTGTCATTTTCGTTGTTGTAGTAGTCATCGTTGACATTGCCGTAGTCAATGTCATAATCGTTGATGTAGTCGTTAACATTGTCGTAGTAGTTTTTGTTGTCGTAGTCGTTTTCCTAGTCATTAACGTAGTCATTATCGTTGTTGTAGTTATTGTTGTAGTCATTGTTGTTGTTTTAGTAGTCATCATTGATGTTGCCGTAGTCATTGTCGTAATTGTTGATGTAGCTGTTGACATTGTCGTAGTTGTTGTTATTGTAGTAGGTTTTGTTAACATAGTCGCTGTCGTAAGCGTCGTTGACATTGCTGTAGTTGTTGTCGTAGTCATTGATGTAGTCGGTAATGTTGTCGTAGTCATTGTCATAGTCATAGTCATAGTAGTAGTAATAGTAATAATGATGGGAAATCAAAATGCAATTAATTTATATTAATTGATTAATATTATTGTTAGAATACTTAAAATGAATTAATAGGAAATCAGTAGTAACTTAAAATCAAAATAAAATTTATAGGAAAAATAAGTTATATATCTTATTATTGTTATAATAATTTCTTTTTAATTATTATTAAAAATTGAAAATTAAAACAAAATGAATAAAAAATTAAGTTACATTTGTGACTGTTATAATAATTTAAAAAGTATATTAATAATGGGAAATCAGTAGTAATGGAAATTCTAAATAAAATTATTAAATTACATTTGTTATTATTGTTACAATAGTGATAATAATATTATTAATAGTAATAGTAATAATAATAATAATACCAATGCATTAAAAATAATTATTATAGTAATAATATTAACAATTATTATGGTTGTTGTTGTTGTTGTTAAATTCTCAAGTTTTTATATATCATTATTTTAAATACAAACCAAAACATCAGGTAAATAATTTTTGAGTTTGTTATTTAACTCACCACGGAACGAATCCAGTTGAGATAAGGAATACTGGCGGAGGCATTCACTTATTCCACAACAGATCAATTTACCAGAAAACATTTAGAAATATGATGATGGTGAGAATAAACTCCTGCATGTCAGACCAGGAGATATGAATGAGGAATAATGTATGCGATCGCTGTAAAAATGAATGACATGCAGCTAATGAGCATTTTCCTTCTCTTTTGTGTTTTGAATGACCTGATTATCTGTCTAATTGAATGATGCACATTTTATTAATCATGGTCTTAATGGTGTTGAGAATTAAATTAGCATTGCATTTACATTTTCTTGACATTAAGCTTGAATTGTATTAGATAGATTGTGCACAAATATCGTTCATTTTCTTTTCGGCTTGGTCCTTTTATTAAGCTAGGGTTGCCACAGAGGAATGAACCACCAACCTATCCAGCGTATGTTTTATGCAGCGGATGCTTTTCCAGCTGCAACCCATCACTGGGAAACATCCATACACACACACGTACACTATGGACAATTTAGCTTACCCAATTCTCCTATAGCGCTTGTGTTTGGATTTGTGGGGGAAACAGGAGCACCAGGAGGAAACCCCAACACGGGGAGAACATGCACCTCCACACTGAAACGCCAACTGACCCAACCGAGGCTCGAACCAGTGACCTTCCTGCTGTAAGGCGATCGTGCTACCCACTGCGCCACCATGCAGCCTATTCTCAATGTTGAATGGACTAAAAGCTAATGATCTTAATAATTTATTGAACATGATTTTTAAAACCATGAACCTTAATTTATTTTTATTTTTATTTAATTTTATTTAGTTTAATTTAATTTAGTTTTTTTTTTTTTTTTTTAATTTTATATTTTATTTAATTTGTTTTTATTTGTTTTTACAGAACAGAAGTAGAAATGCACGACTACGCGCAAAGCAGGTGCTGTGGGTCATGCCCATCTCTCCACACAGAAATATAAACCAGCCTTTAGTGTGTGACACATTGAACATCTCGTATAGGTGTCTGCGCTCCCAAAAAGCGTCTTACGTCTCCAAAAGCAACTGCAAGTTTTATCTTCGTCTTCTGACATGCAACTCATTTATTAGTAGGGATGTAACGGTATCAGAATTTCACGGTACGGTAATACCTCGGTATGAATGGCATGATACGGTATTTATTCAATCATTTACAGGAAAAACAAAACTAATGAAAATACCCCCAAAAAAGTGCCAAAAGTGTCGATGACATACAAATTAGCCATCTATCTGTAAGCTTTGAAACAGGAACTTCAATTTTTCAATTTTAATAACAAACAATTATTAAACCATGTAAAAAATAAAGTTTCAATTTTCAAAGAGCACATGCTCTTTTTAGTCTTGGATATAAAGTGCCCTTCCAAAATGATCAAAAGTGCCCCCGCGACGCGACACACCCTCCGTCCCGCCCTTCAGTAGGCGACAACAACAACAACACCCCCCCCCCTCTTTTTAGAGAGAAACCGAAATGCTTCCACACATCCGATTTAAAACCAGCTTTAGGTTCGATCATTTCCAGCTCTTTTTCATTCCCGCTACTAGCAGCACACTCCATTTCCACATTACTGGATCTGTAGTAACAACAGACCACAAAGGATGATGGCCACGCCTAGGCTGATGGGAATTGTAGTTTCCACTATCTCTCATTCGCTTCATTCGCCTGAGCAAACTTTTCTCAGGAGACCTATAGTTTTATCGAGTCATGCGACTACGTTAATATTGTAAAAAATTGCTATTGCAGTATGACGGTATTTACAATACCGTTACATCCCTATTTATTAGAGAAGAAAACAAGGCCACAATGGCAAATCCCAACACATGAAGTAAAGTTTATTTATAAACTAATTTCGAGAGGATCACGTGCTTATGATTGATCACGGCTGGTCCCGCATTGTGCGATTTATGATTCGCCAATCAGACGATTCCTAAGCCACTATAAATACCCTGAGTTCCATATCACAGAAATCTTCATTTTGCCGAATCCCCCCTTCCACCCCTACTCCTCCTTTCCTAGATGCGTGGCATGGTGGCCCAGTGGTTAGCACTGTTGCCTCACAGCAAGAATGTCTCTGGTTCTAGTCCTTACCAAGCCAGCCGACATTTCTGTGCGGAGTTTGCACATTCTCCCCGTGCTCACATGGGTTTCCCCCGGGTTCCCCGGTTTCCTCTCACCGTCCAAAAACGCGCAACTTAAGTTAATTGACTAATCCAAATCAGCACCATAGACATGCTCCTATTAAGTAGTTATCTCTTAAGAGCGATCACTATCTGTTCATTAGCTACTACAGCAGGGTAAGTCTCCAAATCTACCTGAGCTCAAACTCCCCACTCGCCTTGCAAACAGGAGGGAGCCCCGGGCTCGAAGATCTTTTGAGCTCAGGCCTCTCTCCTGGGACGACATTCCAAGCACGCTTCATAATCAATCATCAGCTAAGTGTGAACTCTTGAAACTAAATTTTTTTTATATTCAGTAGCAGTTTATCAGGATGTGATGATTTCGTTCTCTTTGACTCGAGTTTAATTCACACCATTGGATGGTGCGTGGCTAATGTGTGTTGTGTTTGTGTGTTGTGCAGAACGGCCGGGATTATGGCTATCTGGTGCGGCAGAACTCGGAGCTGCTGCGAGCGCTGGAGGAGATGGAGAAATCCTGCGCCGCTCTGAGAGAAGAGAACCGCGTACTGGTGAGCGTCTTCAGCATACATTACAAGATCTTGCTCTTGTATGACTGGAGTTTTATAGTACACATGAAATCAAAACTAACTATATAGTTAGAGATTTTGTTATCTCATATTGCTGTATTTGTGTTGAACAATTGCCTGACATCAAACAGAAATGATATAAAATATGATATATAAAACTAAAAACTCAATTCAACCTCCAGACTAAACCTAAATGTTATTCGGCCCTAAATAGAACCACACAGTTGGCACATTATTTATCATTAAAACAATTAAAAGAAAAGCACATTCTTTCTAAATATCGCCTCTGTGATCATGACCTAGAAATAGAAAAAGGCAGACATAAAAAATCCTGGACTCCTAAGGAAAAGAGAATATGTAAACAGTGTGACACAAACCAAATAGAGGATGAGACACACTTCCTTCTGTTTTGCCCCAAATACACCACGACTAGAGAAATATTTTCCCCCCAATTTGAAACATTAATCAGTTCATTTTTTAATTTAAATGACTCGGAAAAACTTTACCATATACTCGGAGAGGACGGATTGACATTTAGACTAGCTGCAACATACACACACCATGAGAAATGGTTAATGTAAACTCATGTATCTTATTTAAATAATTTTAATTTTTTATTATTATTATTATTATATTTATCAAATGTATTGTTTTTTTTGTTTTTTTTGTGTGTGTGTCATTATATCTTATCTGTATTACTATTAATTTTTAATGGTTTTAATGGTTTCATATTTGAAGTGCTTTGGCAATACTGTACTTAATGTCATGCCAATAAAGCAACTTGGACTTGAACTTGAACTTGGTGAGGAGGAGGAGGAGTCTGTTAGCCTGTAATTACTCTTCCTAAACCCTTTTCTCCATTTTTCTGAATAAAACGCCTACTGTGTTACATTCAACCAGCTCACAGTAGGAAACAAACAAGCCACGCCCACTGTTTTAATATTCGTTTTCATGAGGACTTTAATTTTGGCTTTCACTGATTATGAAAACACAATGCCACATTCATTTCCTTTAAATGTTTGTGCACAGCAGGATGGATATCAGGATTATCATTGATGTTTAACAGCTTGTGACCCAAAAAGGGCACTAATATGAGTGTGCATATGAACTCTGGGTGATAAACAGGGCTTGACATTAACTTTTTTGATCACCAGCCACTGTGGCTAGTAGTTTTCCAACATTACCAGCCACTCGCCATTTTCCCTACCTACAATTTTATTGTTGGGAAAATTTATTTAATACACATAAACATGACTTTGACATGCTAAAATTACTTGATTGTCTCGGTCCAGGAGGGCTGGTGTCCCTTCAGGGTTTAGCTCCAACTTGCCTCAACACACCTGCCTGGGTGTTTCAAGCATACCTAGTATGACCTTGATTAGCTTGTTCAGGTGTGTTTGATTAGTGTTGGAGCTAAAATCTGCAGGACACCGGCCCTCCAGGAACAAGTTTGGTGATCCCTGGTCTAGTCTATTTGAAAGAGAACCGATCACATCAGTTGTGTTTCTAGACACAGTTGCTTCACGCAAGGAAACGGGAGCGCGCACGCGTTTTAAACAGTCACGCATCACCTCGGCTGTTAGCACAAGTGATCATCCTCTCATTCAGTATTTATCTGCTTTCTATTGATCGCGCGAATGCATTTATTTTCGTGTTGTTCCTCAATTCTAAGATCGCCTCTGTATGCTTACTGGACCATCTTTATATTGTCGAACCCTGCTTTTAAGAAATATTATCCAGGAAAATTATTTTCCACCAGCCAAAGTGGCTAGTGGGAGTGTCTCTCTTACCCACCACCTCTGAAATCTACCCGCATTTGGCAGGTTGGCAGGTCTTAATGTCAAGCCCTGGAGATAAAGCATAATATCACCCTTTATTTTAATGTTAGATACTGTGCCTTTGCATCAACCGATATGAAAATTTCTTGTTGCAATATAATTCCTGAAGCTTTTATTATTAAATATGGTATTATTATCACAATATTGACCCAAAAAGAGTTAGTGTATTGCTTTATTGTGTATACACCTTCAGAATAAATAGATGTTTTAAACAAATTCAGTTGCAAAAGGATGATATAGTACAATATGTCAAGACTTTACAATTAAGGGTGCGTTCACATCTGTAGTTCGCTTTATTTGGTCCAGACCAAGGGTAATGAATGATGCATTGTTGCATCTTCTGCCGTCTTTGGGTCGCTTTCACACCACACTGCTGGCTTTGGTCCGAACCAGTTGAAACGAACCAAAATGCAGTCATCTGACAAAATCCACATCTCTCATTGGCCAGATGTTGTTGAACATATTTCCTAAACTGCTCATTGATTGGTCAGAATTCACGTGCGGGAAAATGCCAGTGAACTCCCGCAGGTAAACAAAACCTTTTACTCTGGAGGGACGACTGCGCTGGCTGATTGTATCCCTGCTTTAGACAAACTATACATTATGAAAATGAAGCGCGGCTGCGGCTGGAAAACAGTGTTTAATGCATCACTCGTCACTTCAGGAGGAGGCGTGAATTAATTTAGCTAAACTGTGATATGGTCATCTTGCGGAAATATTACCAACGATCCATCAGGTAATGTTTTCCCCTCTCTCTCTCTCTGTTGGTAAAGTGTTGTCAACAAATATTTTTCCTCCATATCCCATAATGCACAGTGCATCAGCCTACGGCAGCTGGATTAGTCCAAAAGGCGCAGTACTTTTTGCGGTTGGACCTGTTTTAGTACGGATCATATTCTCACCACAAACAAACCGCTCCAGGGTTCGTTTGAAATACAGCAATCGTACTCAAGTGCACACCAAAAATGGACCAAATAAGCGTACCGAGACCTGCTTTAAGAGGTGGTCTTGGTACGGTTATTTGGTCCGCTTTTGGTGCGCACTCGAGTACGATTGCTGCATTCTCACCTGCCCAAACGAACCGCACCAAAAGGGGAAACGAACTCTAGTGCGATTCAATCCAACTAAATAAGGCAGGTGTGAAAGCACCCTAAGTCTCAGTAGTAAACTTTAGTTAAGCAATTCAATAGTGAGAATCTGGCCCATGACGTTGAACATTCAGTTATTATTTATAGACCTTTTGTTCAATAACTCTGTACAGACTCTATCTAACATCAGTCAGTTTAACTAAAGTCAATACAATGAAATCAGTAAAACATGTTTTATCTGAGGTGATGCTAATTTCTTTGTCAATGTTTAAAATTGCATTAAAAGTCCTAAATGTTTAATTAAATGAAATTATTTTAAGCTAACTTTAAGATATATCTGCATATGTCTAGTCAGCTCATATGGTGAATGCACATTCGTCATACATGAGCATCAACAAACAGTGTATGGTCATTTCCAGTGTGTTAGATTGTGATGTTTTCCGTCATGTGTGTTTGTTTGGTTCAGAGAAAGAGCAGTTCTCCAGAGACGGAGGAGAAGGTGAAGAGGCTGAGGAAGAAAAACGCTGAACTCGCCATCATCGCCAAACGACTGGAGGACAGAGCGCGGAAACTCCAGGAGGCGAACCTCAAAGTGGTGTGTATATTAGGCCCCAAGTACACTAATACGGTTTATTTTTTAAACGCACAACTTGACTATGGTTACACCATTCGTCCACATTACGCCGGAGTTTTCGATCCCTGAAAACTGAGCATTTTGAAAACGCTGAAGAGGCCATTTAATTTTAAAACACTGCTACTCTGTGTCAGTGTTGATGGGGGAAAGGTCAGTGTATGTTTGGGCATTGGATTTTCATTTTAGAAACGGATATTGTAAAATGAAAAACGGGCCGTTTTTAGATTTTGGTCTTTGAACTTTGAAACGAAAATCAAAAAACGGCTCGTTTTTCTTTTTAATGGTGAAAAACGAAAAACCAAAATTAAAAAATTTGATTTTCATTTTTTTATTTTGAATAACAAAAAATAAAATCACCAAAAAACAAAAAGGAATAAAGGCTTGTTTTTTAATACTCTCAAACCAGATAGGCCGACTCATTCATGGTGACACAATGCTGCCACACACAGGCTAGCCTATTTATTCCACTTAATAATGTTATCCTTGTCCTCATTTGTAAGT